TTGGAAGCTGGATATTAATGGGGGTTTTTCGGTTAAGTCATTCTTCTACAGTTTGTGCAAAAGAGTTGGTGATCAGAACATGACTGCACCTTTCAAGCTAATTTGGAAAGCAAGCTAATTTGGAAAGCTAAGGCACCCCTTAGAGTGGCGTTTTTTATTTGGGAAGCATCAACAGATAACATTTTGACTATTGACATGTTAAAAAGGAAATTAAACATTATGGTAAATAGATGCTATTTTTGTAAAGCTGATGAAGAATCTTGTTACCATTTATTGTTGGGCTATCCAATAATTAACAGCATTTGGGCAATGGTTTTTGGGCTGCTGGGTTTGTTTTGGGTTAGAGCTGGTAATGTAAGTGGGGAACTTTGGGCTTGGGCGAGATATTGTAAAAAGAATAGGCATAAATTTCTTATACCACTTACCATTTTTTGGGTTGTGTAGAATGAAAGAAATGCGATGGCTTTTGAAGGTATTGAAACTAATATCGTAAACATTATAAATAAATGGTTTCGTACTTTTGGGTCTATCTTATTATGTCATGATGTGCATGATTGAGAAGACACTAGATTAGTTATAGCCCACTTGATCGATATGTAACTATTTTGTATATGAATGATACTCCCTTAATACTTTTGTGAATAGTATTTCTCTCTTTTATTTTTATTTTTTTAAAAAGAAGCACTGACAAACTAACATACAAACTAGCTTGTACTCCTATTGATGCTTATCATAAAAAAAGACTGGCCAAAAATACTATACCAATAGAAAAAGAGATGTATCAGAAATTGACAGAGAGATTAACAAACTCGTCACACATATGATCAAACTTTTTCTATGCAGTGAATGTTATAAACCAGTTCATATACAACTCTAAAAAAGTGTACTTACAAGCAGCTTACAGAACACCACATTACCTAAAAAGGAAACCTGTAAACTAGATCATGTTCAGAAAGAATAACAAGTTCCTCCTAGAAGCTTATACAGATACAGGCTATGCAGAGCTAATGGTGGACAAAAGATCTATTATAAGTTATTGTATCTTCCTTAGAGTAACTTGGTCACTTGGAGGAATAAGAAACTGAATGCACTTGTCAGGTCAAATGCAGAATCAGAGTTTCCAGCAATGGTTCAAGGAGTATGTTAACTCTAAAGAGAATTTTAAAAGATCTAAAAATCAAGTGGAACAGCCCTGTGAATTTGTCAAAATTCAATTCAATACCTTAAAAACTTTACTATTTCTTTCCTTTCAGATAACGTAAAACATAGCCAAGGGAATACGACATGTTTATATACATATATAGATAGAGAGAGAGCACGAAAGAGCAAGAGAGTGTGTTTGTGTGCAAGTTAAAAGTTTTATTAACAAGACGCCAAAGGGCTAACGCTATCACCCAATACAAGGAGTATGAGAATTATAAATCAAACAAGATATAAATGAGTCCCCAAAATCTCAACAGAGGGAAAAAGATGATCCTTGCCAAAAACCAAAGAGTCCCTCTAACTCTATCAAAAGAGAAACAAAAACCATATAAGCTCCTCTGCTCCTTTCTAGATGATATTGAGAGGATAAGATTAATGACCTTTTTCATTCCCTTATCACCCCAGATGCTGCCAAGCCAAAGCTCAGCCACAGGAGAGAGAGAAAAAAGGGCTGAACCAGCCATCACCCACTTCAACATGTGGGTGACATATACCACTCCTAACAAGGCATTGAGAGGGTGTAATCCTTTTCTGCCACTTCTAACTCCACTTGTAATCTTTTTAAAACCAAAAAAGTATCCTGAAAAGGCAGCAAAAGGGTGTTGCTCCTATGTTTATCACTCGTATATTTAGTTGCTATACCTATTGACTAATATTTCACCATCAATGTCTTTATACATATATATCTTCAACGTAATTTATGTGTTTTTATTTTAAAAATCCATATATATCTTCAACTTGTCATTGTCTTTCATATATACAAAATTAAAATGAATGAGCAATTTAATCAAATGATAGGAAACAACCACATTTAAAAAACACAGGAACAAGTCCTTTCCTAGAAGGGAAACAATGAACTCAGCATGTAAAATGCCTGCCTGAATTCTACAATATGTTTATATGATATATCATCGTTACCTGCTAGTGGATGGACTTAGATCATCCAAATCAAGTAAAATATCCCAGAGCAGCATGATGATGGAATGTAATGTTTGACCCTTTAAAGCGACAATGGAGGCTGCAGCAGGTATCAAGGCATCCGCAGCAACTGCCCGTACATCATCATCAGGGTCCTCCAACCCAGCTTTACATGCAGGGAGAATGCAGCTTAGCAAATCATGCAGCATCTCCTGATGCAGGAAAAAGTCATCTCTTGACGTAAAGAAATGTAGACATAATTAGCAAACCTGCAGCTTGGACACTATGTAACTTCTGTTGGAATTAGATGTATCACTAAAACCAACAAGATAAGTTAAAACGTAAGGATCGAACATCCTAAAGCTGTCAACACTAACATAACAACTAATGGACCACATGATAAACTGATCCAATAACCCTATCCTCAATGTACATGGGCATAACAATATAAAACACCAACATAAAATCTTATGTTTGGCCTAAGATATAACTATCTTACTTTTTAAAATAAACATAAGTAAACGTACTTTTTTTCTAAGCACTGAAAAATGCCAGTGACAACAAAGTTTTACCTGTCTAACTGCAACTAGATACTTAATACCCAAAAGACTTCCATGGCGAATTTCCCACTCTGGTCTACGCTGAATGAAGGAAAAAAGAAATAGAATGATCAAAAGTAGTAACATAAAATAGAAAACCAGGATCTCCAATATGAAGCATGAATTTACAAGGTACTTACCTGCATTTGAAGCAAGATATTTAATGTTTCATGAACTAGCGAAGGACCCATGTATTTAAGAGCAGCACCAAGTGCTTGAGCACAAGTTTCCCTTACTGGAGCAACAACTTGATCAGAAACGTAATCCCCGAAACTGTAACGCAAACAAACAAAAACAAATTAAGGACCTCAAATATAAATGGTTTCCAAATCCAAACTACTCAGCTCAGTGAGGAGGAATTTCTTTAATGAAAAAATAATAATAATACGAACCAGCTCCGATTAACATTTATCATCTGTACAAGAAACAAACCCAAACAAATCTAGGGATTCTTTTCTTTTTTTAAAAAGAAGTATTACCATACCGGTCTAGAGATAACACACACAAGAACCGAATTGCACAGTGTTGAAGAAATTCACAGTTCCTAAGCCAAGAATGCCTAGCCACTTTAATCAAGTTCATCAGCTCACAATTTTCAGGAAGATTTCTTAGTAAATCAGGAATAGAGGGGCCCTTATCTTCATGACAACTCTTGGGTTCTGTAAAGTGAATAGCTTCTTCAGGCGGACGCAATACACCATCAATACAAGACTCAGGTTCTCCCTTGACAGAATTAATGTCAAGTTGACCATTGAGCTGCCCTGCAGGTAAATCATGCCCACAATGTTCCCTCTTTATGCTGACATCAGAGTCATCTTGCTTGACATCAAAAGCCATGTTATCTTTCAATGAACAAGACACTGGTTCTAACTTCAGCCTCTTGAGATTTGGCTCTGATTCATCTGCCCCAACTTGCATATTCAAATCAATTTCTCTTTCTCTCTTTATTGAACTTGAATGATCTTCGTGTTTCAATTCGACATATAGTGCACCATCTGAACTCAAGTCAGGCATAAACACCCCAGCAGATGCACCATGATGGGTTAGAATTTCCCTCAAAGCCATGACACTACCATGTCGAATCTCCCACACTGAAACATGTGATTGAAGGAAGTGTTATTTGATTATAAAATCTGCAAAATCAGATCAAAATAAAACCTTACCAGGGTCAAACATATCAAGGATGAGTTGCTCAACAAAGCTATGGAAAGGCCATCGGCCATCTCCATCATGTTCAAAGCTCTCGTCATCCATAACATCAACCTACACAGTCAAACAGTACCTAGTTACAGAAAACAATTTGGCAGCATAGGCCCAAAGAAAGAGAAGATAAAAACAAATACATCTTTGGAGACATATATATAAGATATATTTGGAAAAATTTCCAGAATTTGTGTAAATTTGCTTGCAAATTCAACTTTTTGTGTGCATGAATTGGAATACATTGTCTCAATTCCACAAGAAACTTCATATATGTTCAACTTTTTTGTCATCCTAATATAATTGACACTTTCTCCTACTTAAACTAACTGCATATTTCCAAATGAATTCCAAATTATTTTTATCCTTTTTCTAAACATAGCAATAAAGAATAATCAAAGTAGATTCTTCTTTTCTTTTTGAGAGAGAGAAAAGTAGATTCTAGGAAATGTGATCGTTACTCTTCTGTCACTCAAGATGAGTCCATGTACTACTAGATTCGAGATGATCACCAACAAAACTATTAAAATATTCATATCTATGTTTTAAGTTTGATTGTGTTTGGAATTTTTCCCAAGAGTTTCCAATAGTTGTGGGTGGTCTCTTGATCTTGAAAGACAGTTATTTGTTCTTTTCTCAAATGATTTTACAAAATTATTTATTAGCAGAAGGGAGGGTCCAACAAGCTAGGCATCTCTCACGGATCTGAAACGAGACTTGGGATTTAATAATAGGAACATAATATGATCACATGAGATATGATTAACAGTAAGGACACTATCTTCACGATAACAAAATCTCAAGGACCCATACCTGAAATTATTTACATCAATGGTAAACAAATCTTCACATATTATATATATGTATATAGTCAAACATACAAACACATACACATGCACACACATATAACACATATACAGAGATAAAAATGCTAGAAGAATCTCAAGTCCAAACCTAAAGAAAAGTTGTTGAGAAACAACCAAGTCTGGTGATTGATTATCTTAAATCCTTAAATTGATATGAAACAATTTGATTCTATTATTTATCTCTAACATGCTCGTTTACATACAAACTCACTAGAATGAAAGTGTAAATCATGTATTATTTCACTATATTTTTCTTGAAATTAATTTTTAATGAGAAACAACCTCTAATTTTGACACCCAGAAAAATAAAAATAATGAGGACTTGACAATTGATTACCCCAAAAGTTTAAAAGAAAAATTACCTAATTTTATTATATATTCTCAAAGAAAACGGCACTCAGGCACTAAAAAGGAGCAAGAGCCAAGTAACCTTATCAACAAACATAAGCAAACTCATGCATCATGAGCACATATAAGTATAAAATATGTTCATACAGAGTCAAATTATGCTGCTGCTAATTGCTTGATAAAAGATTATACTACACCCTTAAGTACTTCTCATAAAATGCTCATGCCTTACTGAATATTAGGTTGATGCATTATCAATTCAAACCATCTATATGCTAGAAATTACCATTCATCAGTTACCTTATACACAACTTTTCATGCAGAGGAAAAGCTGGAAATTCAATCCACAAAGCATTCAGGTAAATAGATATGGATGTCAATTTAATGCATAATCTTGCATAACATAATGGAAATAGATAAATGTTAGATCAATGGTTGCTATAGCAAGGAATGCATCATTCAAAAACAAAAGGAACTATGTAGGATAGCCAACTGTTAAACCTGGTGCCAGTTGATGATTCCACTCCATAAATTCGAACACTCTGATAACAAGATATTCTAATACCTTATTGAAATTTAAAGAATCTGAGCTATGGCCCTTGGGAGTTGTACTCTGTGCAGATGACATCTCCGTATCTCCATCCTCAGTCCAACCTTTAGTTAGATCTTTTGAATTTATTTTTGCTTTTCGCTTGAGGAGATTCAATTCTCTTGCACTTGGCCTTTTAGACACAACACTAGGCACCATGCTTGAAACATATTGTTGAATGTTACGTGCAGACGAGGTTGCATAAAATCTATGGTCTAACCCATTTCCATGGGGATGCACTTTATGCACAATAAGATCTTCATCTCTAATCATATCATTGACATCCATAAACTGCTCACACATGTCCAAACCTGTGGGGAAAAAAAATTGCATTAACATAAATCCATGCAAATAAAATGCAGAAATACTAAATATTAATTCAATCCATCAAATATGCCTGCACGAAACTGCAAAATAGAAAAAACTATAGAAAAAAAGTTATTGTTAAAAGAAACGAAGGATACGAGAACCAAAAAAACACGGTAAACATCAAATATGTCTCGTATCTTTTAGACAGAGTGGGGTTTGAGGCCAAATGGAGGGGGTGGATATCTGGATCTATCACTTTGGGCATGTTAATTATCAGTGCTTCATCTAGTTTTTTCAATGCTTTAAGGGGTCTCAACCAAGGAGAAACCCCTCTCCCCTTTTCACTTCATCCTTTTCATGGAAGCTTTCAATAATGTCATCAATAAAAGTAGAGAAGTGAATTCAAGGGACTCGTAGTGGGTGTTGAAAATCACCAAGTAGATCTCACTCATATTACGTATTATATTCATTTATTACACTGCCCTCTTCCTTCAACTAGGTAAGGAAGCTTATGAACAGTAGATGCATTCTCTTACGGTTTCAAGCTGTGTCTGATTTTAACATGAATTGGGACAAATCTTAAAATTGTTTCAATGGGGTGAGAATCAAGAAGAGACGGTTCAAGTGGTCGAGTGTAAAATGTCCTCCTTCCCCGTTAAATATTTGGCCTGCGTCTTGGTGCTAAGGTTAAGAAGACAGGCCCTTTGGGAGTCAATTTTGAGTAAAATGGAGAAAAGGCTTGCAGGTTCGAAAAGCATATTCAAGGTAGCATGTTGATTGCAGGTTGGAGAAGCATATTCAAGGTAGCATCTTGACCGTTATTAAGAAGGCTTCGTCTAATCTACCCATATATTTCATTTCCCTCGTCCTCATTCCTCTATGGTGGCCTAGATTGGAGAATTTGCAAAACAAGAATCTTATGCGGTAACAATGAAGATCAAAGGAGATATCATCCGGTGGCCCAGAAGTCTGTCAAGAGACCTTCTCAAATGGAGGCCTAGGAATCCAAACTTTGACTAGTTTTAATCAAAAGCTCTCCCAGCTATGTAGGAATTAGAGGGCCAGGCTTGCTGTAGGAACTCCTACCCCATTAATTTTCCCATATGCCTGGAGTCCAAACATATCAGGTGGGGACCTGGCTCCTTTAGATTTGAAAATAAATGGCTAAAGAATCTAGGTTTTTGGAATAAAGATAATGATTGCTCAAAACCTAGCTTATGTCAAAGCCAAAAGGAGACTGCTCAAAGGCAAAGATCAGAGGCCAACTAAATGAAAGGGGACAGAAATGCCAAATTTTTTCATAGTATGACCAGTGATCTTAGAAGATGCAACTATGTAGAGGAGTTGGAAATTAGTGGTCAAGTTGTTAAGAGAAATGGGGAGCTAAAGGGAGAAGTTCAAAGGTTCTCTTGACTCTCCAGGAGCTATACACTGATGACAATTTCTTTCGGTAGCCTACTCTGGATGATCTAAGCTTCAGTA